AAAGATTTCTTTTTTTACAACACTCGGGCCAAATTGTTGAAAATAAAGGCTTTTAAGATATATTTTACAAAGTCAAAGGATATGTTAGGTAATTAGAGGCTAGTTGTGCATGAATTAGACTGTTTAGTTAGTTTGTGTTCTATATATCTGATTTTCGTTCATTTATTTGAATTTATTTTATCCTATTTGAAAGTATATGAGTTTAACATGGGTAACTCATACCATAACTTATTTTTCCTGAATTTATCTTATTTGAAATTATATGAACTTATAAGAACGGAAATAAGTGGAATGAAAAACGGACAACAGAATAGGGCCTTAGGGCCTTATACCTGAGTATATTGAATAAATATTGGCTCATAGGACCTATTTGTTTTGAAACAAATAGGATGGCTAAATTGTAAATATTAACAGAGCATTCCGGCGTTACGCACCAGCACCCCGAGTGCGGGGTTTGATGGAATTGAAGGGAAAAGATCATGAGTATAAAATACCATTAAATTAAGTAAATAGTACCATTAAATGTTATAGTGCCATAGTGGTATAATTTTTTTTTTTTTTTTTTTTTTGGTGTTTAGAGAGCCACAAAGACGAGTAATGAGAATCGATCCCAAGATCATCTGGAACCGGGAGGGAGCTCTAATCACTTGAGCTATCCCTCACTCTCGTAGTGGCATAATAGTACAAACAAGTATGTAATTGTACATCAAATATTATACCACTGTGAGATTTAATAGTACTACTAAGATAACCTATACTCTAATGGTATAATATACATGCATAATAGTACAAAAAAAAATACCACTATAAGTCTGTAACCATAAAAAATACCTTTATGAATATCAAATGACTATTTTACCCTCATATGTATTTCCAGAACACATAAAAGCCATGCGTCGAGATATACTCGAAATATATGTTGGAGGGGGGGTCTTTAAATTTGGTAAAGGAGAAAACTTGACAAATTGTTGATGATAACATAATCATTTCCCCATTACATCCACAAACCTCTCTTACAAAGAAAAAATCCTACAATCATCTTTTTCTTAATTTAGCTTCCTAGGCTCAAACCTCTCTCAATCCTTTGTCAACTGAACATACCCTTTAGAGAACCTCTTTTTTCGCCTCAAACTTTCCACTACCCCAAATCTCCCAAAGTAGCACCCTCAAATTCACCTATCCACCATACATAAAAATTACATACAATATGTTATCAAAAAAGTAATAAGTCAAGTAGCATTATAATTGCAGCAATAAGAGGTATTGCACAGTAGTTCACACACTATTATAAGTTCATATATACTTTAGCTTAATATAAAGCCATGCATGTTTTTAGATTGGCATACATGATATGACACATGGATTAAATAGTTGGATATACATGTCATTTCAATAAGTTTTGTATATGAACTTATTGCAAAAGAGCTTATAATCAAGATTCAAAAAGCCCTTCACCAAATCCCTTAGCTTTATAAATTAAGCTTTTAGGTTAGTGGTCAATAATACTCTTTTGATATCTTGCTCAATGTCTATGCACTTTCTGACATGATTTTGTGCAAGCATTAATTTGAGCATTTCAAGTCACATTTTCCCATTAAAATTATTTCTTTAATTGTTATCACTCTTAGCATTACAATTACCTCACAATATTATCATAAACCAACTACTTGATCTTTAATGTAAATATCATTTAATCTATATCTCGATTTATTAGCCTTTTATCCTATAAGTGAAGTTTCTATAACCTTAACTGATTAAAGCATTAACAAACGGTACATAAAACAAGAGGATCAAATCTTATTTACATAATTAGGCATAGTTTTGCGGCCTCTCAACATTAACAAAAAAGAACCACTAAAGCATGGCTACACAAGTCCATATGAAAGCTTGACTTGCTTCTTTTAGATTTCAACATGCACTATTTGTTCAAATCAAGGAATTCATCCTAAAGCGCCCAACTGCATCAAATATAATCCAATCAAACCCAAAAACCAAATGGTGCTTTCTAGTAGCTTTAATTAAGATGGCCATGTGAGAATGATCATGCATGTATGTAACTCAGACACTCAAAAATTAATACATAAGGAAGCTATATATAGAACCCTAATGAATTGATAGAGTATAGAATCAATCATAGATTCTAATTTAACCATCAGCTTTTATAGGGCATAAAAACCAATCTATAGGAACTCTAACCATCAGCTTAAGCTTCTGTTAGAGCTTCAAAATTGGTTTTATCTCCATCACTATAAAATTATGAGGTTTGAAAATTAAAGTAAAATTAATCCTAAAATAGTTTGTGTGACTATTAATTTCGGACATGCATACATAATTTTAGTTTCATGCTCGCAGAGTTAGTGTCTCCCTAGATCTACCTTATTATTTCAGGTACAAGTCTTCCTTAATCTGTGCTCAGTTCCTCATTGATAACTTAGCTAGCTAGCTACTGAGACTGAAAGCTAGGTAATTCAAATTTTACACAGCTTACATGGTTTTCTAATATAGCAACTCCATCCTAGAAGAATACTCAAAATAAGCAATGCACTCTGAAGCTAATTTGATGCTCGATTTGCTCACACATCAAATTAAACTGCAACATTTCCTTTTCGATAGGCAAGCTTGTACACCTTTCTCAACTTGAGCTAGCTACTTGCTCCTAAAATTTCCAGTAGTAGTGCAGCTTAAATTGCATTGAAAAGTCAATTTATATATATGAGAATGCTTCAGATAGATCAATCATGAAATATGCATTTATCCTGAAGTTTTTCACTACTTGATCTGACATTAGACTTTGCAATAACAGCTAGCTAAGATAACGAGTGCACCAGAAGAAATCGGTCTATGGTGATGGTGAAATCAATTTCTCAGCTGCCAACGAACGTATGTAAGGTACTTACATACAACTTTGAGAACATTATAAATTAGCTAGCTAGTAATAGTTTCAGTATGAATTTTCACATAATAATGAACTGTTTTGCTGTTTTTAGTTTGTCTTAGGCTTTATAGCCTATCTGATCTGGTTGTATACAGAACAGTTAATGTATGCTAAAAAGAGTGAGTGTTTGATTTTCTTAAGGGTAAGATTTTGAGCTAAACTCGGAAAGATTTCCCCAACCACACACACATACACTGCATACACAAGCAAAGACAATTTGCATATGGAAAGCAATAGACTAGCTTGATGATCTCCCGGAACATGGTACACCCACGCTCATTTTTTATTTATTTTTTTCTATTTTTAATCATTCAGAGCTCTCCCAGGCCGACTCCACTAATGGGATTAAGGCTTTGATTGATTAATTCAGAGCTCTCTCAAATGAACAAAAGTGAAAAACTCGAGTATATATTAATGGACATTCCCCAAGAATACTTTCTATACATTGATATCCTAAGAACTTTAGATTTGTTTCATTGTTTGGATATGGACATTGAATGGTCAGCTGAGTCAATTAAAGAATATGGAATTGATTTATATATGTTGACTATAATGAACCTTATACATCATACTTTTAAAGTTGTATGTACTTAACTCCTTACTAATTTAATCTTGTATTTCCTGGGAAATGGCTAGAACATTTTGATTGACTGCTTAGAGATAACCTGATCATATCATGCAAAAAGCTAAGTGTCATTTTATCTTTGGCTTTAGATGAGCAATTTCTTACATTTAGGTGATGCTCTTTGTTACCTAAATTTCTCTTATCTTATCTTATATCTAATCCTGAACTTGTCTATCTAACCTTATTAACTCTTATATTATCTTTATGTCAACTTATCAGTACTTATCATACCTTATTTTAAGAGATCTTATTGAGCCTTATATAGGGTCCACGTTATCAAGACCATATTAGAAATTATTAACCCTCATCTTATATGTATGAACATATCAATCCTTATCTTATATTATCAGAATTGATTATCTTATTTGAACTTATTGGCCCGTATTATCTTATCAGCACTTATTAAACCTTAAATAACTGGGAAAAAAAATGTGAGAAGAATAGAGCCTTAATAGGTACTTCCTAGTTGATTGATCAATAGTTTAAATTTGGAAATTTATGACCTAGTCACACATTGATCAATGTCATTAAGTGTTTTCCTTTTTAATCTTCTTATATTCTGACCTTAGGGCTACATGTATCATATCCCTTTTTATATTCTAAAAATGCACAAATTCCTATCTTTTTTTTTTTATAACCAAACAACCAAATAAATGAGAACACAAAGTAAAATAACTTTGGTCACATTGAACATCTTAGTGTTAGAGGTCATTGATTTGGTTTATAATTTCAATTTTACTGTATTACAATTGATTTTCATATACCTTTATATAAAATACAAACTAACATTTGTATTTTCTTATAAGTATATGCTTCACAATAATGTTCTGTCTTTTTTTTTTATGATTATTTTCCTTTCTATTTTTTAGAAGTGAATGACTGAATTGTAAACTGATTAAATTTACTTTAACAAGTAAAAATGCAACTGATTTCCAAAATGTAATGAAGCAAACAACTTGAATCATAACAAAATTAGCAAGAAAAGTTTCAAGATTGTGAGTCCAATATCAAAATTAGAGCTTGAAACATGGACTTTACAAAGATATTTACAAAAACTATATACTCCATAGTAATCAATGCTTTGTTCTAGGTTTACAAAACATATATAACCTTATGAATAAAATACCACCTATAGCATATATACCAATTATAGTATGGTTGAATGGAAATTAGTTCTTAGTACTAATTATATATGCATTGAAAGAACATAATTAATTTTGGAATTGTGAATTACTCACACTACCACAATACGTATAACATCTGTGGCAAGGTAAAAATGAAGAGTAATTCATTTAAACGACGAAAATCCAACAATAAGCATCAATAAATCAATATAATGTTGTAAATGGCAAAATTCAAGCTAATGTGCTATTGATTCAATCATTCAATTCAAGACTAAGCTAGACATAGAATTGAAAAATAATTCAAATGTAAGCTTTCTTAATATATGGACATATTTCGAGCAAAGAGTACAACCGAAAATTCAAGATCATCAACAAGCTAAGAAGGAGCTATGTATAGAAATCCTTACATGAAAAAATAACTCTAATACCAAACCTCGAGCGTGCCACACCATTACCTAGTGCAGGATGTGATTGCTGTAAGTTTCCCAAGGTCTAGCATTGATGTGAATTTCTGCAAAACATATAATTAGCACATTAGTGAAACTAAATATTGCTAATCGAACTCATTTAACTCGTAAATTTGGACAAATAAAACCTGTGGACAGATTGATAATGTTCAAAGCAGGAAATCCAGTCGGCTGCAGAATCCCACTGTAGTAATTACAACTTTCAGATGCAGGTTTGTTGAAATAATCATTGTAATAATTACAACTATCTTGTTCATCTTTTGAGCTAATCATCTCATAATTGTAATTATTATAAGATGATCCTTTCGACTTGTTATTATAATTGCCCTTTATAACAACAGATTCTCTTACTGTACTACTACCCTCTTTGCTAATCAGTCCATTACTGGAAAGAGTATTATTATTATTATTGTTGGACATAATTGCAGGGTTTGATTGATGACAAATCATCGAACTCGACGAACTCTCTAGATGATGATCATCGACGATTTTTTTCTTTCGTGTTCTCTCCCTAGCGCGTTCCCTAGCCTCTTCTCTCCTCCTCAACTCATTGACAACATTTCGAGTATTATTAAGGTGGCTATTTTCTCTCCTCTTTCTCCTTTTACTCGACGATTTCTCATCATCATTGTTGTTACTAGTACAATACTCTTGATCATTGATGACGACAACTTCATTATCATCAGGTGTTACAGGAGGCTTTAAATTTGAAGTGCTAGCAAGCTCGTCGATGGCGGCCTTAGAGTGAGTCAAGAGCCATCCAAGGGTTTTGCTAGCCTTATCAAATCCTAACATGTCTTGAAGGTTGAAGAACTCGCGAGCAATGCTCATTGACAATCTTACCCTCCTATCTCTAACCCCTTGAGCAGTGGTGATCTTGGTATGCCTATCTTTCTTTCCAGCTGCTCTTCTAGAACTCGAAACACGTACATTCGACGGGCATAACAACCCATTTTGTTGGTTAATTGAAGGTTCAGATGATAAATTTACAATTGAATTGTCTGAAATAGGAGGATATGAAGTTGGTGGTAAGAACTTTCCATAATAATGTTGGAACAAAATATTGTTGTTGCTTTCTGGGATAGCGCGATTAGTAAAAAAAGATGGAGACTGATCATAAAACAAAGGATAAGAATTGTTATTATTATTTGATGAAAACATCTTTGAAAATAAAGATAAAGAAATAAAAACCCTTTTTATTTTTTGGAGGAAATTAATTAAATTTGATTGTGATTTCTACAAATCATGAGATAAAATAGATAGTACATAAAGGTGAGAAAAAGAAAGGGAGAAAGTGACAAAACCAAAAAAAAAAATAAAATTCTGTGGATGATGTATGAACAAAATTAATAAGGTAAAAAATTATCAAATAATAATATGATAAGATTTTTGATGTTTTGAACTCGATGTCACGAATCGAGCCCACTAGTAGTACAATGAAGTGAAAACCCAGATCTAGGAGTTGATGGCAAGGTTGTTGAAAGCCACTCACTTGTTTTAGAGAGAAAATGTGTGTTTTTGGTTGCAGATGAATGAAGAAGAAGGGAGAAAAAGAATATGAATATGAATATGAATATGAATGAATAAATTAATATCCGAAAAGATAAGATAATTTATGCCTTTTTTTTCTTCATAATATGGAATTTTGACCTTTTTGAGTAATACTGTTTTTCACTTTTGAAACAGTTTCAGATGTTTAATTATTTATGGACAAGTCATGTGATTGTATCTGACTGTAAATTCCCTTAATTTTTGAGTTATGAAGGTTTGGATAATTATTTATTTGAAAATTATTTATCAGATACAGTAGTACTAATACTAGTTGTGTTTTTTCTGCTGTTTTATATGACTGCTTAATTGGTTCATAAAACATTCATATGCATTTAATGCCTTCTTGATGACAGAACTGCAGAATTAGGGTTTTAAGCTTTTGGATTTGAAAGGGATTTTTTTTTTACTATTTTTGTTAAAATATGTTTTTTTGTTTACCTTTAAACATTAGGTCAAAGCATGCATGACAAATTTGCTTTTTGGTTTGAAAGGAGTCATAATGATGATGACGGCATTTAAACATGTTCATATCTTTGGAGGTATTACCCTACGTCCCAACACAGACTATACCGGTTAAATTTACTAATATTCTCGATAACTGCGTCATGTGAATATTACAGCTAAAAAGATGATTTTTATAAGAGGTTTTTGTTTCATCATGTCTTAAGTATAGTCTAGTTTCGGAAATAGACTTATATCATTGCTCAATCTCTGGGAGATGAGAGTATACAATTAAAACCACTTAAATTTGGTTCCTAATGTACTTGAACAAAATACCTAAAGTATGTTGGTACTTTTTGTCGCTTACAAATTTTCTTCATCCTTAGAAGTTGATACTGTATCTTTTTTTCAGTTAAGCAGTGTTGTATCTAAATGTGTTATTCTGGCCTTACATTTAGCGGTTTAGCCTATTGTGCCAAACCATTAAAGCAAACAAACATGAAAAAATTTGACAGACTTTCTTGAATCTTATCTCATTCACTAAATGTTTTATGTTTTGGCCACTTGGCTTTATATGATGTCTGAAGCCTAAATCTGTTCTAGCTTCTGCAGCTCATGAATCAAGCAAACAACAATTGCTAGGGCTTTAATTTGTGTCAATCTTGTTCTCTGCATTTATTTGCAACCTTGATTATTTGCATTTACTCCCTCTACCCCTATTTTTTTTTTAACCCCATTTGACTTTTCACGGTTTTTAAGACGCATCTTAACATGTATATAATTTCATTTTCATACGCGTAAAAATTATAAAAACTTGATATTAATAAAATATACAATGAGACGAATCTAAAAAGACCCCTCATAATAATATTATTTACTTGTTGATTAGTGAAAATTTATGGTCAAAGTTTTTGAAGTTTGACCCATTTATTGCAATGGGGCAAAAAAAATAGTGACAGAGGGAGTATTTGTTTTAGACAGAGTATCTATCAATGTTTTTAGCTAAAATTCTCTAGGGAATGCCTGGTTCACTTGTCAGTATGGATTAGTACTAATCAGGACTAAAACCATGATGACATAAGTTAGAATTAGATGCTTAATACTATGTGTTTGTTATTTTAATGAAAACAAATGTTCTTTTTCTTATTTATCCCTAAAGATTTGATATAAGTCATACTCAGATGCCTACATACTTTCCTTCAGGAGCAACCGAGCAGGCATTATTAGGGTAGGATTTCTTCTACTAATGTAAAAGTTGTTCTGCCCTATTTCCTCACATGCCAGTTGAATAAGGAATAAATATTATATTAATGAAATTCCACCTATGAATTCATCATCTCCGATTCATCCCATCATTTAACCTACACAATCTTTAATAAAAACGCCAAAACAAACGCGCAAATAATTTCTCCCTCCCAAGTCCCAAACCAATCAAAATGGCTAGGACATGTATGCCTAGGACGATCTGACCCATGAGGAATTCCGGTTTTAAAGGGTTGTTTTCCTTACAAAAGGGTATACAAAAAGGAGTAAAACAATTTGTCTTCAAAAGGAATAACATTAGTAGGGAAGAATTAACCAAAATGGTTAAGTTTAAACCCACCTAGGGTTGCTTCAGTTGTAAAATGCCGCTTTGAAGTAGCCAAAGGTCCATTGGTTGTGGCTAAGATTAGATCCGTACATGCATACATTCTCTCTCATCTCTCTATAAAAATTCTTAATTTCTTGCTTTGACAAAATTGCTACAAAACGACAATAGCTACAACCCTATTTTCCTTACTTTTACCCCTTTTAGCTTACCCCTCTCAAGCTAATTTCAAACCCTAATTTTTTTTTTTAAGTGGAATGACAAAAAAATAAAATTGCATTTTGCTTGTTGGCCTCTTGCGGTTTTCTTTCTATCACAGCTTATATTGTACGTAGATTTGTAGAAGAGATAAATCTAGGTGTATCATACATTGTTATTCGCAAATTAGAACATAAACTCGGTATTATCTTGTATCTCTACCTATAAGGTGGTATGAATTTGAAATCAGGAATGAATCTAGGCTTTTATATGGTTAGAATTTGACTCTTAATACGTTGTGTTTGGTTGTTGTTCAGAAGTGGATTTTTGCTTTTTATCTGAATACCTAGAGGTGTGGTATGAGCCATATCCACCTCCTCTTGGGTTCTAGACCCCATACCTTATGGGTTTGAGCCTTTGAGGTATGAATTTAGAAATTAAATTTTTCATAAACAAACATTAGGTATGGGTTTTATTCATTCCAACCCCATACCTCATATTTAAAACCTATGAACCAAACGCCCCCTAATTGATAGGGGGTAGTACTCAAGACCTGATATTGAATCTCTTCTACATCATTATCTTTGCGATTTGCTTTACACCCATTATTTTATACATTTTTTGATAATACATAACTAAAGATATTAACGGTAAAAATTAAGTCTTGAAGACTATGTAAACTGAAATAAGCATTGTATTATGAGAAGACTCCCTCTGTTTCACAATTGACATACTTTGACTTTTTTTACATTTACATATCAAGTTACAATTTATTTTTAACTAATGTATTAAAAACAAAAACAAATGGGTTTTTTTTTTTTTTTGTAACTAGAAAAACAAATGTAAAGTTTTGTTAAATACTAGGTATTAAAATGTTCCCTAAAAAAAAAAAGGTATTAAAACGTTATCATGTTATAGTTCTACTTTTATTTATAATTTTATTAAAATGTACTTTCTCCATTTCTTTTTTTTTTTCTCTTTATTTTTTAACTTTTATATTATGGTCAATTGTTTTAATACTTTGACTATAAAAAGTCACTTTTAGATACATCAAAACCATAATGGGAATCTTGTTAGATTCGACTTTAAATTTATTTTCTAAATATCAATTTTAAATTTTGACTCATATCATATTAAATATAAACGTGATTAAAGATGTGCATGGGTGACCGTAAAATTTAAAGGGTAAAATAAAGAGACGAAGGGAGTTATTACTCATATTTAAGATCAAATTAGAGCATTAACAAATGTGTAAAGTTTGACTATATCAATTATGTAACAGAGAGGTATAAAACTAATTAATGATTTTTTCAAAATAAAAAAATAAAAAACATCTACTCCGTCTTGGGGTGCACTGAGCATGCATATTCTATAGGAAATCAGACATTGGCTTAGGCTAGCTTTCGTGTGATAGTCTTGTAAGTAATTCCTAGTTCCACCCATACCCAAATAAAGTTAAAGTTTCCTAGCACAATTTAGCTATTTTTTTTTGTTGAAATTATAAATGTATTAATCGACAAGTAAAACAGTAGTATAATACTAGTACTTTTTTTTTTCCTCAAAAAAAAAAAAAAAAAAAAAAAAAAAAAAAAAAAAAACTAGTACCTTTTTTTAAAAGTATAGAAATTTTATTGGGAATCTTAGTGTACTTGTTTCTTTTGGTGGAGTATTTGCTTATTGGTTTTTTTTTTTTTTTTTTTTTTTTTTTTTTTTTTTGAAGAAGAGTACTTGCTTATTGTTGTGGTAAAAAATATTTTGTGTTCATTCTTCATGTGATGATTTTTCGAATTTTTTTTAATAAAAATTTATTCATAAATAAAAAGTCGTCGACATCTACAAAGAAATTTAAATTTAATAAATACATGACAAATGAATCAAATTTAGCTTTTTTTTAACAGAGCTACGATCGTTGTTGCAAATCGTACTTTCTTCATACCCTCTTTTATATCGTTGCGATTTACAGCCTTTTTCGACAAGGGGGTCTATCGATCTGTTGTATCCGTGAAGAAAATTTTAGACTGATTCATCTGATTGTAATCGAAGGATAAACCTCTTTTTCGATTTCGCACAAATCTTTACACATGAAACAACTTGTACTATACTAAACTCAAAAAACAAAAACAAAAACAAAACTAGAACAAAGTCCACTATAGGGACACTTTCTACACTCAAACCCACTATAGGGGTACTTATTACCGTCAAAGAGTGTAGATTTATTGAACTCAATAACAAAAACATAAAGAAACTAAAGGGAAAGGATTGAAAATAACCAAATTTCCAGAAATTTAACTATTTCCGACCTATGAAATACTTTATTTGAAGAACCCTAGAGAAGAAGAATAGAGAGGATTTTTTGAAATTTTATTCCTGATAAAACTGAAAACATACACGTCTCAAATCAAATTAATAAACTATTACTTGGCAAAAAAACATAGGTCCTTTTAGACAAAATTAAACTAATTGTTTTAGCTTTTAGGTTTGGAATAACTAGTAGGAAATAGTTGTATAT